ATCTTGTCCGCAGTGGAGTTGTGAAACTACTATTCCTAAGATTAATAGAAAACTCCCACAAAAGTTTACCTCTTAGAAAGTGCTTGCATTAGCTATTAAGCTAACGAACTTCTGCGTATAATGACATTTTTTAACCTAATATCATAATGAAATTTGAGCATTTTGAGAATTTATTTAAGTTTCCTGAAGATAAACGATTCATTTTGGCTGAAGACAAAGACCGTTGTTTTACTTTGATCGTGGATTATTTTTTGCATAGGTGAATTAATTCCACTTTCAGATATAATTATGCAATTTTAAAACAACTGGCCATATAAATTGCAATTTTTTGAAAAACATGCTATTTTTCTGTCCTTTACGTTTCAGAATAACGCGAAAGGAGAACGTAAAGTACACAAAAAATTATATTTCTACACGACTTACATTCAGTAAGGACTTCTTTGTCTTAACTTTGCATTATCATTTTTGATATTTTGTTTTTGTTGCAAAAAAATGCGCATCATTCATGCAATCAAACAAACACTTATGTTACTGCATTTTGTGCAAAAAACTTAACCGGATAGCTAAAAATAACGTTTAAAATACAAATCTGCAATGTTAATGCAAACAATTGTGATTCATTTAAGTTGGCTTCACTTGAATCTGAAAAATCTTCGACAAACTCTTCCAGTTCGGGAAGGAATATATTTTATACCTATTTCACTTATTTTGAAGTTCCTTTCATAGTATTATCGACATTAACGTGCAGTTCGGTTCTCTTTTTCGTAATTGCATAGAAAATTCCTTCGATATGAGACTACTCCCAATTTCCCCAAAATAATAGCTCTTCCTCTAACTTAAATGACGATTTATCTAAGTAAAAAGCTTTCGCAGCATTCAATTAACTGAATGAATCAAAACAGTGATACTAAATATACGCAAAAGTACCTACTCTAATTTCATCATGAAGGTTGCATGGTCTTTGGCGGTTTTTGTATTATAGCATATATAGTAACGGTTTCACTTACCAGAGTTGCTAAAACAGGCAAAACCCGAAGTCACACTAAACACCAATACAGAAATTAATGACAACATTGCTGACTGAGGGGTGAACAATGCAGCGTTGGCAACTGTCGTGCTTATATACAAACTTTTGACCAATGAGCTTTCACCTCCTCGTGCAGCATAATTGTATGCTTCAGGACTGGTGTCTTTGACGAAAGCTCATGAGGGAGGGCAGATCATCAAATAAAAGACAGGCCCTGGTAGTTTATGTTCATGCTGCTACTCATATTGCAGGTTCCGTAGTCAAGGAGAAGGTAGAAAAATATAATTGCAGCAAATCGCAAGGATGGAGGAAATAATACACATGGCGAAATCACATTTGTGTTAGTCTCTAGGGCCTGGGATAAAAC